GGGGGGGGGGGGGGGTGTTGAGGGAAAGGGAAGTCTTACCTGCTTGGGTTCTTGACACAGGAAATCCAGCAGGAGCTGCCATCTTCCCTGTAAAGCATATAGGCTCTTGACCAGACAGCAGCAATGGAGAGAGAGAGTTCAGCACAGTAGCCTTTTGGCACAGGCTCCCTGTAAGCCACCCTTGGAGCCCCATTTTCTTCCCCCTCCCCAGATATGCTGCTGGACATATAGTGTGCCTGGTGCAAAAACAGATCCCTGGGGGAGGGAATCACCGTTCCACTTGCCCCCTGCCCCCCAGATGCACTGCTGGGTGCTGAACTGCTGCTGTGGCTGGGCAAAGGTGGCACAGGGCTGCCTCTGCCATGGTAAAAATTCTCAGGAGGGCAACAATTCTGGCACCCCCTTATAGTTTACACCCAGGGCTGGTTCCCCACTTACCCTGCCCTAGTTATATTACTGCTGCTAACAGTATTTTGCAAGATAGGGTATACTTGACACACATTCTAAAACAATGGGCCGTGTTATTGTGTGCATGAGTTCAAGCAGTTTTCAAGAAAATTTAGATTTAAACGTATAACACTAGCCCAGGGGTGCTCAACCTCCAGCCCACAGGCCAAATTCAGCCCACAGAGCCATGGCATCCAGCCCATGAGGCATCTCACCAGTTAGAAAATATCAAGGTGGGAGAGCAGTGGCAAGTTGCCACCCCTCCCCACAGCCAAATTCACATGCCCCTTTCCTTCCCACAGCTGAATTGGGGCTGGGCCATTCCCCTTCCCTCCTCTGCACAACTGGATCAGGTCCCACCCTGGATGCCAGATTGGGGCCAGTGCTCATCTGGCCCACTGGAGAAAAAGGTTGTTCACCACTGCCCCAGTTCAGTATCCCTAATCTAATGACCTGATGGGAAATGGTATTAAATAATAAAGCACCTACTAAAAAGACAGAGGGGCAAACTTTGGTCTGATCCATAATTAGAACTGCTAAATTACAAGAAACACTGTCACATGCAGGCATTTAACAGAAAACAAATAACTAGAATCCATGTAATGATAGAAAATGAGGTCAGGAGAGAGAGAGATTCACAAAATTGTAAAGAGATAAAAAGAAAAGCCTAAACAAAAGTGCAATATGTGTTAGTCTACCACCACTTCATGAATGTGACACAGCACATGTTCATGATGGGAATAAATGGTTCCAAACAACAGTGGCATCTTAGAATCATAGGAGGTTTTCCTAGTTCTGGTTTCTCTATCATGTGGTGTGATTCTGAAAAGAGGCTGTTCTCTCTCAGGTGCCATGAATTGGGGTGGAGCTAGAAAGTGCTGACTACCCCAAGCAGGGTCTGGAATGCTGTCACATCCATAGAACCTGCCCATTGTGCAGGCAGATAGGCCCCATGGGAATATGTTGATGTGCTGCTGGGGCAGCTGACAGGTATTGTGTGCAGGTGCCATGACAAAGAGTGTAGGCCTGGAGCCCTTTGAGTCCACAAATAGTCTGAGCTCAGCCAGGCCTCCTTATTGTATGTGTCTAATCTGAATGTTGCAATGGATAGATACAGGTCTAGGCATTGGTGCAACAAGGGATCTCTTTACTAAGAAAGGAGGGAGCATGAGGGATACCATTAAGGCTGACTTCTGTGGGGCTGGAAGGGGCAGACCTTGAGGCTAGATAGGCTCCTGGGAGGAGCAGGGCAGTCTGGGTTGGGTGATGTTACAGTGAGGAGCTTCATTACATACTAGTGATTAGAAAATGCAAGTAGTCCTTGAGAGGGCTGGGACTCAGAAGTCTGGCTGAAGTGAAGGAGCCTAGTGAGCATAGGCGACTGGTAGGAGGTGCACAGGAGTGCATGTTCCCCCCTGCGATGGGGCCAGTGCCCCCCCCCCGCAACAGGGCCACCACCATCCACGGCTTCTGCAGGTGCCCCCCCACATTCAAGAGGCACCAGTCACTCATACCAGTGAGTAAAGCCTTGGTGTAACAGAAAGCCAGAGGCTCCTGTAACTTTAAGGAGAGAATGGGTGCATCTACAGAAGACAATAACTGCACAGTAGCCTAATAACAAAGCGAAATAGCATGCTGGGCAAAACCCATGCTAGTACACAGTTAGGCTACTGCACAGTTAGCATCACTAAAAAGCCATGTGCCGGCGCTACAGCACAGTAGCACCAGTTACCGAGCATTAATTTAGTACTTGGTTATGCAAGTACTTAATGCGCAGTAACTATGGTGCATTAATGAATGTGTAGATGCACCCACTGTGTGGGGGCCAGCACCTGGACAAAGGCCAACTGCTACGAAGTAAGCAGACCAGAGACAGAGACAGCAAGGGCAGGAGCTACCACTTGAGAAGGGACATGCTGGAGCTAGTTGCTGTACAGTAAGCAGTCAGACCTCCAGGCAACACAGAAGTAAGAACTGCAAGCAGCTGAGCTAAGCTGCAGCAGAGGACAGGATGGCCACCAAACCAAAATGAAAACCCCTGACAAGAAGAGGTGGGGCTTTGGGGCACATAAGCCCAGTACCTGAGAGCAAAGGGCAGTATGACCCTGCAGGCGATGGACTGGCTGGCACCCAAGCTGTCCCAGAGAGCTATGGAGAAAGAACTAAGGGGGACTTAAATCTAGGGGAAAGGCAGTGACCCAAAGTGGGAGAATTTCAGCCGAAGCAGTTTGCTTGTCTTTTGACTAAGCTAGATACTGGAGGATCAAGATGCGACTATTGTGGAGGTATGGTGGCCATGGAGGGGTGCTTGGTGGGGTCCTCTTGAACTCGGTTGAAGCTCCAAATGCCAGCACTCCACCACCCCCAGCCCTGCTCCTTGGAGGCAGCAGTGGCAGAGTGCAGCGGGGTTCCTGCTACCTCCCTCCCTGCTACCTGCTCCCCTCCCTCCCCCTCCCTGCCAGCTGTTGTCAGGGCCAGGTGGTGAAGGGGTGCTGCCACCATGACCTCCCTCCCCTCCCTGCTTTCATCCCTTTCTTCCTTTGCTGCCACCCAGCCCCAACAAAAGCTGCCACCATGACCCCCCGCCTTTGCCACCCCTGGCCCTGCAGCCACCTGGGCCTGCGCAGCCTCCCTCCCTCCTCACTGCCTCCCCCTCCCTGCCAGCTGCTGTCAGGGTCCCCTTCCTGTTCCCCTCCCTCTCCACTGCCCGCCCCAACAACAGCTGCCACCATAATCCCCCCTTCACCTCCCCCACCCTGCTTCCCTCCCTCCCTTCCTCCCTGCCTACCGCCTCACACTCCCTGCCCGCTGTTCTGGGGGTTGTTGAGGATTGTGGGGGGTGGGGGTGGGGGGGGGGGGGGTGCTGCCATCATTACTTCCCCCCCTCACCTGCAGGCAGGGAGGCATAGGGAAGCTCCACTGCTTGGGTGGCTGGGGTGTGTTCACTGCCACCACAAACTTCCCCGGCAGCGGCTCAAACCTGGGTCCATGAGGCTTAGGCCTGTGCAGCTGATCACTGCCCACCCTCTCACCCTTGGCAGAGTGTTTAAGGGAGTGTTTGCATACCCCCCCACCCCCCTGTTCACCCTTTGGGACCAGCCATATAAACAGTCCCTCCGCCACCACCGCTGCCTCCTCCTCCAGCCTCCATCACAGCGGGCCCCTCCCTGCCGCCCACCTCCAGCAGGGCTTCCCTCCACCTGAGGAAGCAGCAGTGGCAGCAGCTCCCTTCCCCCCCAGCCCACCCGCCTCTGCCTCTTCCTGTGCAGCAGTGGGGATTCCCTCTGCCTGAGAATGTGGTGGCAGTGGCGGGTCCCCCCTCCTTCCCCCCTGCTCACATCCATCTCAGCAGCGGGGCTCCCACCTCCCTGCCTAAGGAGGTGAAGCCCCTGCAGGCAATCGCTGCCGGCCCTCTTGGTGATGCATGCACAGTTGCCCAAAAGCGTTACGGACAGACAGACACACAGACAGACAGACTAAGCCCTTTATTATATTAGATTCACATTCCTGAAGTGTAGAATTTAAGAACAATGCCCAAAATCATGAGTTGTCAGTACTGTACTATTCACCAACCCTTAATTTGGGCTTTGGCCATTTCCATATTCTGCTCAGCGCCCCCTTTTCTATGCTGAACATGTCATGGAGAAGCGGGGTGTTTGGAGATTTTGGACAATTGGGACTGCAATTTAATTTGTTGCTTTTGGTGCCTTGATGTCTGGCATAGCTCTTGATGTGCTAATGGGACCTATTCAGAAAATGGCCACAGAGACCTCATACTCACTTTTCTTCTCCAGCTTCTGCTGGATTGGAGGTGCTATTATCTGAAGTGCTTGGCAGATCATGGATTTCCAGGGCCATCATACACCATAAAGTTTTTACACAAGGGGTGGTTACAGGAACCTGAGCTGTATTGGGTAGGAATTTAAATTTAAAGAGCATGACTGTTATAATGCTAATGACCCTATTCAAAAGCCCTGCCTAGTCATCCCCCTTAGAACAAGCAAGTGGTGCTCCAAGGGAAACAGTTGTTTTCTGCATAACGAGATGGCTTTGCTGACTCCTGATGGAATCAGCAAAGAGAACCAGAGGATCTTGGATGCCCTGGAGCTGTCCAACTGGAGAATGGAGGTACTCAGTAATGCAGAGATGCTGCTGCTACTGAACACAATGCAGGCTATAATGGCCCTTGTACAGAGGCGCCAACACAGGGTAGCAGTTTCACATGCCTTGTTATACCAGGCACTGTCCCATCAGCTGGAATTGGAGAACTGAGAGAGAGCCGCAGATCTTGAGACTGACAGGGTTATGTGGATGAACCTACAGAGAAATGATCACAAGGTCTGGGCTCATGTGAGCAGCTCTGACTGGTGGGAACACATTGTACTGTCAACTTGGGATGACAACAGTGGCTTGAGATCTTCTACATCAGCAGAGACACATTTTTCCACATAGTCTCATTGCTGTCACCACACAATGAGTGCCAGGAGACTGCCATGAGTCACCCCATCCCACCAGAAAAGAGAGTGGCCTCAGACATCATGAAATTGGCTATCCCCACCAGCCTCTGCTTCATTGGGAACCAATTTGGAGTGGCTTCTTGCTTGGACAGGGTGGCAGTACATGTGGTATGCCAGCTGCTGCAGGACATTGTGGTGAACTTCATCTCCCTCCATAACCCCAGAGAAGTTATTGAAGGCTTCAAGGCAATGGGGTTCACTAACTGTGTGGGTGCATTGGACAGCACACACATCCCAGTTCTATGCCCATCCCAGGAGAGCTGGTCATTTGTCAACAGGAAGGAATTTGCCTCAGTGATCCTCTAAGCCATAGTTTATCACCGAGGATGCTTTGCTAACATTTATACAGGCTGAGCAGGCAGTGCTCACAATGCACATGTCTTTCAAAACTTACCACTGCCTGGCATGATAGAGACAGGACAATATGTGCCTGGGGTCCCTGTTAGCAATAAAAAGCTAGGATTCCAGACTAACCCAGGGATTGACACGACACCTTGTTCGATGAGTGACAGAAAGGTTTTATTTACTACAGATATTTAAAATCAAGTCAAGTGAGCCCAAACCAAATCAAAGTCCAGTAATTAGCTGTAAGGTGATGATTTCTCACCAAACAGGCGCGAAGAGGCGGTCTGTTTCTCTTCAACTTCTCGAGTAAATCGGGCGCATCAGCAACTGGTGTCAGAGAGATTTCTCACTCTTGAAGCACGTGCGTTGTTTGCTGTTTTACTGCCTTTTTATA